TCTAGGGTGGGGTAACAACCCCTAAAAAAGGTGCGGAAATGTCGGGAGGGGTACCAAACGACGCGTTTCGGTCCCCCTAATAACACTCCGGAGGGGGGGAGATAATATTAACCATTTGGTAATTCTCTAGGGTGGGGTAACAACTCCTAAAAAAGGTGCGGAAAAGTCGGGAGGGGTACCATATGACGCGTTTCGGACCCCCTAATAACAATCCGGAGGGGGGGGCGGAGATAATATTATTAACCATTTAAAAGTTATGAACAAAAAAACTTTTGTTAAATTTCGTTGTTTTCTATGGGCAATTACACCGACAAAGATTCACTAAATCACCTGTTCTCACTTTTTACACACTATTAAAATATATAATTTAACTTATTTATTAAAGAAACAGGGAAATGTTTAGTTATTGGCCCACCGTTTTTGTGGTGGGGGGCGGAGGGGGAGGGGGCGGGGCCCCCCAAACCCCCTCATTCGAAAGGGGACAGTCGCCACTTTACGAAAAGCCCCACCCAAAGACAAAAACAAATAATACGACTTTGTAAACAAAATTTTGTTCAAAGTTTTCATTCCTGGAAAATAATTATTTATTTTTCAAATCCACCTATTTAGCTCGCTATAAGCACAAATTTTTCAAACCAGTCGTAGAGGAAAGTATTAAAAATTAATTACAGAAATTAAATCGAAAAACGTTGATGAAGTTACAGATTCTTAAAATTCGTAACAGCCAGTGTAATGAGAATGAAGAATTCTTTCTGAAAGCTTTAGAAAAACCTGACACATCTGGTTTGGCCTCGCCATTATGCTAGATTCTAATTGTTTCTTAAAAATACTTGACATCCGCATTCGCATCCGCGGATGTTAGCTGTTAGATGTTCGCATCCGCGGATGTCTAAAATTCCACATTCGCAACATCCCTAGTTTGAAGTTGCAAATTTGGGTTCTTGTTGTATTTACATAGGTATGTACATATAGTTCGTTCTATTTTCAAAAGTGAGGTGTCAAATGACAGAGCTTGGCCTGTAGATGTGTAACAAAGTTTTGTTTTTTTGAAACGGGTTGCCACCTGTTACTAATTTTTTAAAATAATTTAATAAGTTAAATATCAGGGAACGGATTTTTAGGACCTAAAAACCTATAAAAAGGCAAAATAAAGTAACGAAATGAGCTGGAAAAGGCAAAATAAAATAGCGAAAAAGGCAGGAAAAGGCACTAGGTATTGCAAAAAAGGCAAAAAAAGGCAAAACAAAATAGCGAAAAAGGCAGGAAAAGGCACAAGGTATTGCAAAAAAAGCAAAATAAGAACAAATAAGAAATAAGAACAATCAAAAAATATATTTATTTTATAAATTCTTATATTACAAGTAAAAAGAGAGAAACTATGAACTAGTTTCATTATATGAAAAATGTGTACTTTGAATCTTTGACTATTTTATCCTCTCGAGTTTCTAACTCATAAAACTTTTATCTGTAAACATAGTTGTAGTAACATTGAACCACAAGATGCATTTTGAAGTTTTCTGGCAGCATTTTCGGGTACTGTTTAGTAAGTGGCCCACCTATTTCGGGGTATTGCGTCCAAAGGTGTGACCCGATCCAAAAAAAAAAATGCACACACTTGTAGCCAAGGGTCTACCCATTATTTGGGAAATGTTTAGTTATTGGCCCATCGTTTTTCGGGTGGGGGGCGGAGGGGGAGGGGGCGTGGCCCCCCAAACCCCCCTCATTCGAAAGGGGACAGTCGCCACTTTACGAAAAGCCCCAATGCCGGCGCGCGAACGCGGACCGCCGCGACGCCGGGCACTTTCAAAATTGTATACTTACAAATCCGTCCATTTAACTTGTTCATGTACTACTTTTTGTGAAATGTAACTCGGTGACTACCTACATATGTGCACTAGTTTGCTTTATTACTCAAATTGTTAAGTTTAAAAGTTGGTCTTATTGCTCAACGAGAAATGAAATAAAGCAAATTTGCGTTATTGCCGTTTGTGTTATTTCTATTGAATATTTACTATTTAAAGTTTATTTTATCCTCCCATTCTGCCTGTTGTTAGTGTTTAGTGTTGGACAGTTTTTGCTTTTAAAATTAAGAAAATTATATCGAGCAAAAATAAAACTACTCAAAAACGCGAATATGTGGTAGATTTCAGACCTTGTGTGGTAGATGTGGTAGATGATCAAAATAGTGGCAGATCTACCACAATGTGGTAGAAGTCCGATCACTGGACATATGTACTTTTATAAAAATAACTGATATCAAGAATGGATTGCTATAAAAATCGTAAATTTATGCCAAAAACAAAAAACAAATCGGCCATTGTGCGTCAGAGTAAAAAATTAAAAACATATGGCCTTATTTATAAAAAATAAAGTAGGTTTAAAGAGCTTTATAAAATGACGTTTTCATACATTTTTCAGTTTATAAACCTTTTTTAAAGCTACTTTATTTTTTATGAATAAGGCCAATAGTTTTTATATATTTTGCCCATATTTTTGCGAATATATTAATTTTTGTGTGTGTAAAATTTACTGTCGCACGGTGAAATAAGTATTACAGAGACGGCCGCTGTGATGTAGTGGTAAGCAGTGCGCGCTTCCACTCCGCAGGGCCGATTTTTTCTTAACAGCGGTCGCCCTCGGCACGGGTTTTTTATGCAAATAGGATAGGGATAGAACGTTTCGAACCGGCCGTCGAAATTCCCACTCATCCGTCGAAATAAAATATAATAAGTAAAAGAAAAATGTATTGTTAAGATTTCGTTACATTTAGCTTCGATCACGTATGATATGAGAAATGGTAGTTGGCATGCTAAATTTATAAAAAGTATAGCCGTATACAATAGTAAGTGGTAGCATTGTAAATTTGTGTATATCAACAAAATTCTGTAGCTACGTACTGCTTTTATGCACAAAACCTGCGATCTCGACTTATTGTACCATTTTTCTTTAAATACGCACTACACTGTGATCCTTTTAGTAGTTTTCCGGTGGGTTATCCAACTCAGTATCACGATCAATCTTTATAGGCAAGGCCGTATTTAGGGGGCGGGGGAGATTGTAGGTTTCAACCTTGTTTGTGTGAAATATTTTGTTTGTATCAGTATTTTAATTTTAATAAATCTATGTTGAAATAAAAGTTAAAACAAAAAAAATATTTTGTCAGAACCCTCCGTAGGTATGGTCCGAATCGCTTTTATGGGGGTTGGCATCACAAAAGGAAATACTAAAACTAACTCACTTACAGGTCTAGTATTTTACTCTCACTACATACGCATGTTGGTAAAGTAAAATATTTATGCAGCTATGTATTTTAAAATTGTTTTTAAGTCACCATTAAATTACCGGATTTTACAGTTAAAAACTGATTTATTTGTTGCTTTACTGAACTCAGTTTTTGTATATTATCAAGGTATAAAAATACTATATTGTGATGGCGACGACAGCATCAACAGTGGCACCAGCGACAGCACAAGCTACAAGTGTCGTAGTGCTGGATCGCGGCAACAACACAACTTGTACTGTAAACTTACATGGTGAGTGCTTTTCGAAAACTTTTTATTCTTAATTTATGTGTGTATGTAATTATTTATGTATATAAATGTTCATGAACCTTTAAATGTAAGATAATAGTTAGGGTATTCCCAATGATGATGTTTCAGCTATCGAAATATGTCCTAAGACAGGTTAGTTGACGCAGAGCTCTGAAAAGTAAAATATAATACTAAAGTTTGAAATAACGCCAAAAGCCATAAGGACAATCGATTTTAATTTTGTAAAAGGGGTTTTTCTTCTACAGGTGAGTTCTATATAAGGTATAATTTTAAAATTTTTTGTATGCTCAGCTGATTAGTATTTAATGAGATATTCAAATGATTTTTTTTTATAAAAACAGTTTAAAGAAAAAGTCATGTCATTTTCTCCATGTTTCGCCAATAAAAAAATTATGTTTGTTTCAAGATATTATTTATTATTTATTGAAGTTTAACTTCAGAATCGTTATAATTTGGCTCTCAAAGGGCCTGGTCACTTATACCTTGGCTCAAATTTAAGATCTTGAATAGCACTACAGCGTCCTTTGGTATAGCTGCATACCAATAAAAAAAATGCAAACAAAAATGCATTTCTTAAATTGAGGTGTTAAAATTTTTGTTAGGTTTTTAAGCAAAGGAATCGTATTTCTTGTCTCAAAATCTATAATATTAGTGTAACAAAACAAAAAAAAAATCGTTTGGAACTTATCTGGTGGACTTTGGATGTTTTTGTTTGAAGAACACTATTTTTGACAGACCTTCAAGGAGTAATTGTGGGTCAATGCCAGTATTTTTCCGTGAAAGGGAATGAATAATTGCGGTCGCTGGGTCCCTTCGCACTCACCTTTTTACACACACTTTGGTTTCCGTTAAAGGAAAGACTTAGTTTTCGTTTTAAAATTTGTAAATTACAACTTTGTTTATTCTCAAGATTTTTGGTGTGTTTTCAATTTTGAATTGGTTTTTGATTTCACAGATATATACATGTGCGTATATACATATATACAATTTATTTGATCAACTGTCAAGGATAGGACGCGTGCGCGTTGACCGATGTTAATTGCTGAACTGTCTTCTGCTGATTTCGCACGACGATGAGGAGGCGGCCGTGCGCGCTCGGTAATCATATTTACATGCCATGATGTCTTCAATCTGGAAGTAGAAGCAAAGGCAGAGAAACGAGGAGTACTTGGGTACAATATTTAAACGGGAAGTTAAGACCCTTAATATAAAAAAGGAAAAGATGTATAGAATTATTTATTGTGCCTTTGGAAGGAAGCACAGTTTGACAAGTGGCCGCGTAATAACTCCATTTTGCGTACGGATTTCTGCGACACGTATGTGGTTATCAGGGCCGTGACGAACGTTTTCGATTCGTCCCAATCGCCACTCGGTGTGGGGGAGCGAATCTTCTTTGACCAGGACGAGGTCGCCTGGCTAAGGATCGCGTTGTGGGGTTTTCCACTTGTATCTCTTCTGAAGATCTTTGAGGTAATCTTCTTTTCAGCGGCGACTAAATTGGTGGTGGAGTGCTTTGACTTTCTCCCACCGGTTTAGTAGAGAGAGGTCTTCCGCATTAGGCTCGGGAATGGCCAACAGCGGTGCACCTCGAAGGAAGTGACCCGGAGTAAGCGTCGTCATATCAGCTGGGTCTTGGGAAAGTGCGGACAGAGGCCTCGAGTTGAGGACTGCTTCAATTCGCACCAGAAGCGTCGTGAATTCTTCGAAAGTGAACTTGTGGGTTGCAGCGGTTTTCTTTAAATGGATTTTAAAGCTTTTCACTGCAGATTCCCACAAGCCGCCCATGTGGGGGGCGCTGGGTGGTATATATTGCCAGTTTATGCCTTGAGGGGCATATTTTTTGACAATATCTGCGGAACATTCGTTAAGGAATTTAACGAAGTCGCGTTCTGTTGCGCGCTGAGCGCCAATGAACGTTTTTCCATTGTCGCTCATCATTTTACGTCAATAAACCTAGCTGACCCAAGTCGCCAAAAATCAATAAAAATTAGCTAGGAATTAGGTGTCTTTTAGGTGTTAATTAGGGCCTCCAAAATTAATTTAGGTGTTCCTTTGGTTTCCGAGAAATTCGCAAAAATGTGTGGGTCAGCTAGGTTTAC